AAATCTTCCTTTCAATTGAGCACTTTTTTTAAGAATAGTAATTGTTGGTTATTGGAATTCAGAAAAAGTATATACCAATTATATATTTTTATAATATATATATATATATATATATATATATATACACACACACACACACACACACACACAAACATATTTTTTTATAAAAGATTTAAAGCTTGTTAAGAAAAAAATTTCATCATTGAAAGTCCATTTTTGAGAAGTTGGCTGAACATACATCTTTTCAAATTTTATATTTTATATTCAGTTTATCTAACTGATAAAAAAAACTAAATAAAGAAAAAAGTGAAGAGGTTTATCTTAAATGTTTCAATTCCTTACAATTTTTGAAATATGACCCATTCTTTTTCTAGAATATTGCCTGTGAATTTTACTTTTTCTTGTTTTTTTTATTTTTTAAGAGCGAAAGCTGGAAAAATTGGAAAAATCATTGCAAAGGAGATTTTTTTTTTTTATTGCCTTCTTTTTTTTTTATTAAACGTTCACCCTCTTTGAACACCACACTAATGGATTCTTTTTAAAATGCAAGAATATACCAGAATCCGCTGGGAGAGAATCATTCAGAAAATGTGTTTAAAAGCAGAAACTGTATATATAGTGAATATATAAATGGACTTTTCTTCATATGTGCATCAATGTAACACTTAAAATTGAGAGGGAACAGGTTAATTTGCAGAAAATTCTTACAATTAACTTTATTTAACTCCTTTTTTTTTTCATAATTTCTTCTCATCTATACATTTTAAGATCATAAAGTGTAAAAAAAAAAAAAAAAATTACTGAACAATATTAAGATATCTGAAATAAGCAGACCTCTTATTTGTTACAAATTTGTAACTCTTCTTTTTAAATTTGTATTGATGTTAAATGCAAATTGCATGAAATAAAATTAACCAACTTTGTAATCCACTTTAACTCTGGGTATAAAAGCAAACCAATTATGAAGAAATTTTCCTTACTTTTTAGCTTGTGGCATCCTAAAAATATCATACCAAACGCTGAACAGACTCTTCTGCACATCTTTCTGGCCAACATTTAAGCTCTGCACCAGACGTAAATTGAACTCTTTCTGTTGATGGTGTATAAACTGCAAACAAAATATGGACACATAAAACACTTTTTTCAATTGCATGTACTATATTAAAATGGTCCTCACAGATGAAGAAAAGACCTGAAGCAACAGAAATGTGGTTCTACAGAAGAATGCTGAGAATATCATGAACTGAACATGTGAGCAACAACAAAGTTTCAGAGAAAATGGAAACAAAAAGACACTTATACTTAACACCAGAAAGAGACAGTTGAAATTTCTAAGGCACATAATGAGGAAAGAAGGCTTGGAAAATTTGATATAATACAGATTGAATGCAAGAGGAACAGAGGAAAGCAATGCATAAATTACCTAGAAAGCTTGAGTAAATGAATAGTGAAGTAAGTTTTAGGAGTAATAAAATAAAATAAAATAAAATTTATTAAGAGCTACAAAGGACAAGGAATTGTGGAAAGCAATGATTACCAACATTCTGAAGGAACACAACACAAAGGAGAAGTTCTTTTTTTATATACCATCTCCCTTCAGGACATAGATAATCATAGCTCTCCACAAAGTCTTAATACTTTGTAGTTCTTAGCAATATTTGTCCACCCATCCCAGTCCATGTTTAACCATCCATTTACTCAAGATCATTAGCTGGGTTATTAAGGATGGGAAATTGGAGAACTATGATCACCGATGTCCTGAATGGACACAGCCCATAGAAAAATTTTAATACTAGCCGTTTCCTTATAAGAAAACATTTGGCATTCATTGATTGAGCAGCCATCACTACTTTTGGTTGAAATTTACAAAATCTTTCTCTTAAAACAATTTTTCTGGAAAACAGGTTTAAAGTTCAGTAGCTGTTATCACTCTTTCCAGTATTGACAGGGGCTTCCTACATAAACTTTTGTCAGTGGAATGTCATCATCTTCATTAAGTGATTAATTTCTCTTCAAGTTATGTGACAACCATTTTAGTTGTTACTGTTGTTAAAAGATCTTTTTTTTCCCTTATATCATTTCACACCAAGCAAGGTATTAAAGCCACTAATATGCAAGTGGTTACAGAGAAAGGGCAATAGAGTGAAGGAAACTAAGAAAATGTTATTGAAGAGAAAGGACAATAAAAAGATCAGGATTCAAGGATAAAGATGATGATTGATGTTGCATTTAAATTTTTGTAGATTGTAGTTCACAGGAAATCAAGAAGCTGGAAGAGGAGAGAAATGTAAGAAAAGAAACTATTAGCATAGAAATTATGGTTACAACAAGCTATTTCAACAGAGAAATTATGAGACCGAGCTGCCAATTTAGTACTGTGCTTAAATTCGTGAAGCTGAGGTACCAAATAGGAAAGCTCATCAGAACAATTAAAAACATAGAAATGGACCAGGGGAGGTATAGTATGTGGTGGTTGGAAAATGACTGAAGCCAAGATGCCATGTCAGGACCAATAATGTTGCAGATTCTTCTTTGGAGTATGTCAAGAATCCCTAGATATAAAACAGCAATTTTGGCAACAATATTTGAGGCACAGATGAATGGTAAATATATAAATGTGCAAGACAGATTCTGGAGAGAAACATTATCTAGCATGACAAAGTGAACAGACTTTCCTAGCAGCAGACTTAGCAACTGATTCAACATAATCTTTCCAATGAATATATCAATGAAAAACATGCAACCAAGAAGACACAGTGAGTTGCTTCCCTGGAGATTAGTATCAACCATGCTGATGGAAAGCAAAAAAGCTTCAAGATGATTAAAATAGAGTAGTTTCATTTCAACAAGCCACTTCTTGCCCCAATTAACAACAGATTGAATGTCATTTTATCAAATATCAGATTTTCTATTAAGATACGAGTAAATAGTTGCATAATCAACATAAATACTAAGTCAGGAACTAATGACAATGGAAATGACATTGATGAAAATAAGAAATAAAGTAGGTCCAAGAATAGAGCTCTGGGGGGGGGCACCTGAATTAATGCAAAAAGATCTAGAGAAGTGGCTATTCAAAACAAGTTTCATTATACAATTTGATAAGATTGAATCAAAGAAATAGCAGGAACACACCATAACCCTCCAACTTCCTTTTTCAATATTTTTTCCTCCCATCTTATTGTCTGAATCTTATTATTTCTGCTTCTCTCTTTATTTCTCTCTTCATTCTATTTTCCTCAGTTTCTAATTTGTTCCATTTAAACATTATCTTGCTTCTTATCTCTCCCTAATGTTTCCCTATCTTCTATCTTTCATCCTTTTTTCCGCCCACCTTTTCTCCTCTCTCTCTCTCCCTTTATCCAATCCTCATTTTCTCATCACTTCTTGCCATTATTGTTTCAACAATCGCACCCAAAATTGTCTTGAGCATACTGGCAACTTGACGACATGGCCGACTTTTCTTAACTTGGTTTCAGCTACCTTAATGGAAAACTTTGCACAAGCCACTGATGCAGATGGGATGGGCAAATGCAACTTCCTACACCTTCCTCCATGCATCAGTATCTCAATATATGTGCACACATGCATGCACTAATATATTGCAGAGATACTTATTGCATAGTTGTGCAGATGAAGAATGTATGCATTGGCAAGTATAAACATGAAAGATATCAAATTGATTCAGAATGATGCAGGATATACATACATATACATGTATGTATGTACATAAATGTGGATATGCTAGATGTGGTATCTAGTTTTGTCTTTATTTTTATTTTTTTAAAAAAAGATGTACGAGTAATGTAATGGTTAGCAACTCAAAATGAGAAATCAGCAAGCCAAGTTCAAATTCTGTTTGAGTTTGTCATATTCACTTTCACACAAATACCCTGGAGAAGGTATGAATTTATTTCTCTACTCCCCAATATAACTTAAATAGCAGAGCAGACAAAACTCTTTAGCTGTGATTGGCAACCAGTCTAAAAGAACAATTCTGAATTCAAAAACATATGTAGCTCTGGTGAAGCATATATTTATACAGCCATGAAAAAGATTATATTGTTTATAATAAGTATTATCTCAACTATGGCCAATGACAGAGGTTTCCTCGACATAGCCACAAAATAATAAAAAAAAAACTATTCAGCTTTGAGAAACCAATCATCAAAAAAATGTTAAGATTAGCCATTTCCTTATAAGAAAACATTCAGCATTCACTGACCGGGCAGCCAATGCTATTTTCAGCTTAAATTTATAAAATCTTTCTCTTAAAATAATTTTTCAGGAAAATAGTCCAGTAACTGTTATTGCTATTTCCAGTATTGATTATTGATTAACTGTTATTGCTATTTCCAGTATTTTTGGTTTGAAGTAATGTGGAACATCAACATCTTGATTATGTCTTTATTTTTCTCCTCATGTTCAATGTTCTATCCATTTTAGTTGTTGCTCCTTTTGTAAGTCCTTAGGTGTAGAAAAAGAACTGAACATATAAATGAACAGATTAAGAAAAAGAAAAAAGAACGCAATCGAAGGCTAATCAGAAAGCAACACAACCATGTGATTACTTCCTGTATCCATCTTCCGAATCTTTAACTAATGCAGTGATTCAACTCAGAGTATCATGTTCAACCTCCAACCAGTTGCTACATCTGCCACCGGTATTCCTGGTATAATCCCACTAAATCACAAAAAAGGACCCCATTGAATCATGAAAGCACATACACCCAATCACAGACCTACATATATATCCCCACCATAATAATATGATTGAATGACTGATTTGTTTTGCAGGTTATTTAAAGCCAGAAAATATTTTTAGATTCTAAGAATTTTTTTGAGATTTACTAATACATGTCCCACTAGTTAACCTATAGCTGGAGGGAAAAGATGTGGATTCATATCTTTCCCAAAAGTATTTGTGCATAATATAACAAATTCGACCAGTATTTGAAATTGGTTCTCCAATCTAGAATTCACTAACCGCATATCCAAACTTACAGCACCTGGTATTCCCAAGCAGTCACCAATCTAGGTACTGACCAGGCTGGACATTGCTTAACATTGGTGATCATATGAGAACCATTGTTTCAACATGATATGGCTGTAAGCCCCTTCATAACAATATGTATGTTTACATCTATAAATGTTGAACTATATCATGTCTTTGTTACCTTTAGTCTTTTATATATATATATTATATATATATTATATATATACACATACGTGTGTTTCTAGGTGTGTGTGTGTGTGTGTGTGTGTGTGTGTGTGTGTGTACTCGTCTATCATATCTATCTGTTCCCATGGTACAATGATAATCTGAATTGTACACATAATTTATATGATACTCGAGGGCAAGAAAATAGGCAAGCACTTTATCTTTTCTTCTTCTTCATCTGCCAATCCATTTCCAACTCTATCAAACCTGACTTATATATTTATTTTCACAACTCAATGAGTCCATCATCAGCTGAATAATACTCTCATTGCAAAGGTTGATTAAAAAACAAAAAGAAACAAAAAGTGAAACCAGTAAAATAGAAAGAAATAAAAATGAAGTTAATCTTATTTTTTCTCTTTTTTTATCCTCATAAACTTTTTTCTTTCTGTATCACTTAAAAATAGCACAGAAAGCAATCACAAAAAAAACTTTTGTATCTTTCTTTTGTTTTTATTACTTTTTCATCTACAACTTCAAAAATTAAAGAAAATAACAAACAAGAACAATGATAAAAAATAAAAAAAAAAATTATAGATTGTGGTATCATCTCTTATAAATGAAGTTAAGAACTGAGTGAAAGCATATGTGCAAGGCAAATTACCAAAGGATGTTCGAAGAGAGAATCTAACATAAAAGACCCATTATCTGTGAGTTAATGAAAATTTCACTTATTTCATGGACAAAAAGAATCATTTACAAAAATTAAACAAAAAACTGCCAACAAAAAAAATGAAATTTCACAACAAAGCTGTAATCACAAGTTTTTTTTTTTGCACCAAATATACACAATTGTAAAGAAAGAAATGCTAACTCATAAAAATGTTCAAGCAAAAATACATGCACATTAACATAAGTGTTTGTAAACACACATATTGTCGTACACAACAATATATCTATTTACTTACAATTCCACCATACACACATAGATCTATATAAAAAAGGATACAAGCCCTGACCTTCTATGGGCATGTCCAATATCATGGCTGAAACAAGAATACACACACACACACACACACACACACTGTATACATACAAAAATATAAACAAAACACTTACATATATGCATATCATATTAATACAGACACATTCATCTTTATACATAAATGTCAGTATATGCATGAGCGTGCGTGTATAGACACACACACACACCTATACATACTTGAAGTCAACCCATGAGCAAGTAAGAGCACCTCTAATATTCATAACTCCCAAACACTTCAGCAATGATTTCCAAATTTTTACATATAGATACATACATATGGATTTATATTTAATCCAACATTTTTATTATTCAAACATTATTTTTAGCGGTGGATGCCTGTATTTGAGACAACTTGTGCCTCTAGGTTGAACTTGCACTCCCTTTGTAGGAGAAACCTGCATCTGATCTAAAGCACACTGGGTCAGACAGTGGGTTCTACTACAAAGAGTCACACAGGTTCAAACCCTGCTGGAGGGCTTATTTTCTTTATTAAATTTTCTTTAGTGCACAGGCTGGTAGTTGTAATATGCACTGTTTAATAAATGGGACATCTATTCAAATACATGTATCTTCAAATTTAATTTGAAGTAATAAAAATACACACGCATATAAATATGTGTGTGTGTGTGTGTGTGTGTATATATGTGCGCCTATACATAAACACACAAAGGCATATATGCATATATACATACATATATATATATATATATACATACACACACAAACATGTACATATATTTACATAGTTATTAAAACATGTACATATATACACAATTATTTTACATTTAATATTACAAAATTTTCTATATATATATGTGTGTGTAATCTTTTATACACAGACACACACATATATAACACACTAAGATGCATACAGTTAATTACAAAAAAAAAATTGCCAATGTTCATTTACTGAATGATTTTTGATATATTCTTCAATTCAAATTTAACGAATGATTCAATTTTTTCATGAAACATCAAAAATTTTATTTTTTTTTTCCATTGGATTGTTTAAAAAAAAAAAAAGGCAGAGAGAAAAAAAAAGACATAATAGCAGGAAAGTGCATAGAGCACACTTTAATGGAATACATTCATTTGTTCACTGTCTACATGCGCAGATTGGCAAGCACTGTTTTTGATTCTTAAAATCAAACGATGCTTGAGATTGACATTCATGAGTTTATTTAGACTAATATCCTTATTGCTATTGGTTTTCTGCATTTTTTTTATTCCTAATTTACAGCTGACATGTTATCCAATCATCTTCAGACTACAAGGTAGCAATGATCTAATCTCATCATCTATAGACATGCAATTATCTCTCTACTTACCCTGTCAGTTACATATCTTTCATTCTTTGGAATTGCGTAGTATGCAGCTTAATGAAATAGTTCAGAGAAATGAACATCATCTCTAAAAATATACAATTCTACATTATTTTCAAAATAACCTTTATTTTATATATATATATATATATATATATATATATATATATATATATATATATATATATATATTTGACAGTATATTGCATATTATACCAATATTTACATCAAGAAGAGCATGATCTATTGATGAAAAAAAGATGAGGTATTGTAATTACTTACACTATTTACATTGTTCAGACTGTTGTCCTCAACTTTGTTGCCATATTCACAATGTTTCAACCATTCTATTCTCTTTGTTTACCTAACAAATAACCAGTTACTGAACTCAAAACTATATTGTTATTAAAAAACAAATAATAAAGTGGATAAAAGCATTGTAAATGAAACCAATGATTAAACCCAAATTATTTGCTTTTTAAGTTCAATATCAAATTGAAAAAGAAATGAATAAAAATTGGAAATAAAGTTAAAGGAAGATAAAAATGCTGAGATATCACAAAGGCATATTTTTACTTTTAGAACAATCTTCCTGGTGGACAAAATAAAGGGTTTGTTTTGAAATTCCAACCACCTGTAGAAGGCCTGAGCATACAACAGTCGAAATAATTATGATTAGGACAACAGTCTGAACAATGTAAATAGTGTAAATGATTTTTCAACATAATCTCCTTTTTTAGTTTCTCTAACAAATTGGTTCAGTCATGTGCCTAAAAGACAACAGCTTAACAAAAATTCTTTTAAATTTTCTTGCACACTGAAGGTTGCTCATTAATATCCTAAGATTTGTATTATTCAAAAATCAATAAACTCTTGTTATCTCAATGATATAACTAGCCATAAATATCTCTGATCCAACCCAAACATCCAGAAAAAGATAATAACTAAAAAAGAAAATTATTATTCCGAGAATCTTTTATTCAGCTAAATATGTGCTAAATAATTGGATCGTATTAACCAACTCACCTGAAGAGTGTTTAGACATGATCGGATGTCATTGTCTGTTTTCTCACACAATGCTACTAAGGCATTCATTTCTGCTTTAACATGTTCTAATTTGGCAACCTGAAAGAAAAAGGGTATTAATAAACCAATCAGAGTTAAAAGGTCAATTCAGAAAAGTGAATTTTTAAACCAATCAGAATAACAGGTTTATTCAAAGAAAACTATTCTTTAAATAAAAGTAGCTGGGAAAATTTTTTTGAAATAAAATTTTACAAATGCTTTTCATTCTAACACATAAATTGCATATTTTTCTAAATGAATTTATGGTGATTAAGGTTTGTTGTCATAATACTTAATCATCTAAATATGAACACAGAAGTAAAGAATCATTTTGAATTTGCTTAAAATTGTTTTAATGAAATCTTAAAAAAGTGGTGTAGCTAGCTGGGGGTCTGCTTTAAGAAAGACAATTAAAAGGAGGGGTAACACAATGTCATTTGTTAAAAAAATTTTTCAAAAAGGCTAAGGTGCCAAAAAAAATTTCAAAAAACAGTGATGGAGACATTAAAGGGTTTAAAAGAGGCACTCATATGACCCCAGAAATAATTTATGATCCCCAGTTTTGTTCCACCCCCCATCATTTTTTTTTTTAATAAATTTTGGAAAATTTGTGAGTAGGAAAAATAGCAAAGATTTTCAGCTTTCATGTGTTTCAGTTGCTACAATCTTTGGTTACTAACAAGAGACATTGTGGTAACATTTTATCGGATGATATGGTGTTTTAACTCTGCATCATTAATAACAAAACAAAATCTGAAGCCAAAAGTGCAACAATTTCAATCTTGCCTGTGTATCAATTCATTTTTCGAGATACAATTTTCCATTGAGTGAGCGATATACTTTTGAATATATCTACTAGTGTTGGGACGATTTTTGGAATTGGAATCAAGAATCGAAAAAAATCGGAATTTTTTTGGATATCATGATCGGAAAATATCGGAAATTTTTTTTTTTTTATTTTCCGAAACAAAAAAACGATTCTTTTAAATTTTTAACTTAATTTTCCATTATTGGTACTAATGATAAATATTTATTTTTTTTACATTTATCACTAAAACTAAAATCATAATAACATCAAAATACAATGTAAATTTATTTTACCACTTATAAAAGAAAAAAAAAAAAATAAACTTTGCATAAATTTCCTAGGTAACCTTTAAAAAAGAATGCAGTTGATTTACAATGTTTATAAAAATGCTTAAAATTAAATAGAACATTTTGTCAAGAAAAATACTTTCAAACATCATTGATAATTAAATGGTACCCAGAAAATGATGCATGAAAAAAATTGGACACAGGAAAATTAGCAACAGAAAATTCTGTCAAAACATGAGCCAGTCGAGACTGTCAGATCTGGCTGTGCTGTCCAAAAAAACGAGATTATACCAAGACAAACAGATTTTAATGATGTCATTGATTCAGTTTGCCAGGATTTAATGAAAACAAAAAAACATTCATTCTAAGACCATAGTATTGAATGTCATTCTTTTTTGTTTATTGTAGATTTTTTGTATTTAGT